TATCCATGATTGTAAAATATACCATAATAAACATTTCTGTACACGTTGTCTTGAAAAGTGTGGGGGGAGGGGTGGGTTGGGTGAAGAATAGCGGTATACGTTTTTAAAGATAACCAATCATAGTATGAAAAGTCAATAATTTTGTAGGTACAAAGAATTAACAATATTTAACTTTTAACTCATATATTTGTAGCTTTTAACCTCAAACATGTTTAATTTTTATTGGTCGAAAAACATAGAGGGAGTAGCTAAAATGTTTTGTACATTTTTATAGGTTGTATTTGGTATTTTGCACTTGAATGATACCTCATGCTGAAGAAGGGCTAAACAGCCAAGTCAGAGACCTCAGCTAACGAAAGGAAGACCAACTAAGCAGTCTGTACCTCCAATTGCAGGTACTCTTCAGTTATTTCATCACTCTCAAAGTAATTCTTTAATTATCACCACATTTTTAGTAAAAACAACGTAGAAAAATGAAATGTTACGGTGAACAAAAGTACATGTGCACTCTGACTTAAATAGCACTCTTGAGCCTTTTCACTGTATTCTAGGTCAAGAAGTAGAAAACATAGTGCAGATATTCCTACACAAATTATCAAGTCTTTCGACTGTACAAATGATAAAAGATATTTGGTAGAAATAAACGTTTATTTTTCTTTGTTTTAAGGCTAAGTAGGTAATATATGTTTTAAAATACCATAATATTATTTATCAATTAACATTTATTCACCACTTAAAAACATTTAAACACTGACTTTATAACGTTAGTAATAGTAGGCCCATTTGTAATCTAATTTAAGTATTACGTCTAATGCATAAACGTAGAGTAAGGTTTAGCTGAAACAATACTTAGTAAATTTTAATTTGCTTTTCGCTAAAACTCAATGTCATAAAACGTCTGAATTAAACTATTTTGCTGTTATACCACTAAAGTTATCAAAAAAAACAAATCAACATGAATATTGAGCATTCAACACAAAAACCATAGTTGGCTTTATAACAATCAGGTGATAGTGTTGTTGCTAAGCGATGATGCATATTGTTGAGTATTACCAAACAAAAAAAAGGAGCATGAAAGCGTTCTCGACAGAGTTACAAAGGGAATAAGCCTTTTATAATTAGTGATTCTCTTTTGATAGGATGTCATTAAAACCGTTTAAAAGTAATATAAACAGTTAAAGAAATAATATCCATCTTTGAATAATATCCTCTATGAATGTCGAAACACTTTGTACGATGTAATAAGTACGTGCACTTCACTGCGTTGTGCGTTTCTCTTATTGCATTATAGATTGTTTGTTTTGAATTTCGCGCAAAGCTACACGAGGGCTATCTGCGCTAGCCGTCCCTAATTCAGCAGTATAAGACTAGTCATCACCACCCACCGCCAAGTCTTGGGCTACTCTTTTACCAACGAATAGTGGGATTGACCGTCACACTATAACGCCCCCACGGCTGAAAGGGCGAACATGTTCGGTGTGACGGGGATTCGAACCCGCGACCCTCAGATTGCTAGTCGAGCGCCTTAACCACCTGGCCAATACCGGGCCTATGCACTTAACCAGTAACATCATATGTGCATAACTTTTCGAATACGTACTTAAATCCATTTAGGAACAATTACTGCCAGCCTTAAGCCCAAACAAGATAAGTGTCTACTTGGGGTCTCGCGCTGTTACAAAGAAAAGTTTTTTTTAAATATATTTTGCCATTGCAGTTATTTAATTCCTTAAAATAATAGTTAGGCATTTATCCTGTGTCATAATTTAAACAGAAGAATTTTCTAAGGAAAGAGTTGGTCTCCGTGAATTCCCCACTTGCACAAGGAAATATAATGAACAATATACTGTAATTATCCTTCTGCTTCGAGTCTCACGCTTATCAAGGGCAGCACTGGAGAGTGCAGTACAATCTACCACGTGTGTAGAACAAGGACTTCTGAATCGCGATGTTTAAAATCAACTGATAATCGTTAAATGATACTTTCGCTTAAGCACAAAACTGATTTTGTGTTATTTAAAGTGCTTTAACTACATTACTACTCCATTGTTTTGAGACAAACGTAACATTTTTGATTTAACCCAAACACTTGCTCATTTCTAAGTACTTATAGTAATATCTAGACTGAGATGATCACACAAGCTACTACTCATGACAGTGATTGATTTAGTTTTGTTGATTCAAGTGTTGTGCATTTTCTTGACTAACAGTGAAGGTGTACGAAATGAAATCACGTCGATTGTGCCAATCTTCTTGATAAACAATGTAATTGTATTAGATAAGCCAAAGGAGAGTTACTCTGATGATGATGCGAATAAAATCCTCAAGATAAAGCTGACAGAAGACGAATCACAGTAGAAATGAAATAATATTTACTCTACATAGCCTAGTTGCTGAACTTAAACGGTAATATATTGTTCAAACAGATTCTATTGTTAAACAGGTATTTTGGATTATCCGCTGAAATAATGCAAAGTTCAGCCTACTTAACGAAAAGAAAAGCGTCTTATTTGTTCAATTGGAAGTTTTACAATTATACAGTTTCATAGAGGTAACCGGCCGCCAGCTATCGCTTTTTACTTTATTGTTATCTATTACTAGCAGAATCCAACAAAACATTTGCGGTCGAATTAGTATTTTTATTGCAACAATGCTGCTTTTTTAAATGCAGCATTTCTAGAATAATACAAACGAATATTAATGGCAGACACCGAAATATACACGTCTAATTGTCTTAGGCCTAACATTAGCTAAACCTTTATTAAGTAGTGTCAATATTCGCTAAATAGATAAATTAACACTCTAACTTGTGTGTATGCTTTTTTTTAGTTCAGTTAGGGCTTAACTTCACCGTACATAATACCATTACTAAATAAACTTATAATGTTATATACGACTTAATGTTAGACCTTTTGAAAAACTTTGATAAGCTTTTCATATTGTTACGTCTCCGTTCGTTCGTTAA